CTCCAACAAATGTAGGTGGTAAGACAACTCTCTTTCCTTGGGTAGAAGCATCTCTCTCGCCATTAAGCAAAGCATCAGAAAGCCCTTTGTACATTTCACACCGCAATTGTTTTTGATGTGTTCTGATGTACATTAGTCTTGAAGACTCAACCATTGTATATCCATCAACGACAAATTGTTGGAACAATCTTCTACTTTGGAGGATGAAAGTGCATTCCGTGCTCCGCTCATGCAGTCTATATGCCAAAAATTCCCTAATGCTAACACTTCGACGACCCTTTGTAGAATAACTATTGCCATCACAAAAGTTAATATCCTCCCTATAACCATCTTCACCAAAGGGAAAGAGAAGTGGATATTGCAACCCCAAATATGCAGGATTCAATTCATTTATACGCTTCAAAAGCCCTCCCTGTGTTTCAACCATTATATCTCTTTCACCAAGTGATTCATCGAAATCACCTACAACCAAAGCTGCTACCTCTGAAACCGTAGGTAGATTATAAGTTCTAGCATCTTTGTTTCTCCTACCTATCAACTTCAAACTCACTTTTGCTTCGCCACCTTGAACAATCTTGTCTCTAACCATTCTAAATGACTTCACCAAAACATTATGTTCATCAAGCATTCCTCTTAAAGTGGACACAATTTCTTCGTGCAAATTGTTCTTTTTGGCATCGTCTCTCACAGAACTCAAACGGTTAAGATCCTCGTTTTGTGTATCATATATATATATATATATATATATATATATATATATATATATATATATATATATATATATATATAGTTGGGCAAACTTTGGGACACTTCCTTCTTGTGGCAATAGGGACCCTATTAGATGATAATTCTGACCACCAAGTTTAAAAGTTGGTGGTCCCCCACCCCTATTAACTGAATTATCTATCCTACCACCCATCGATGTGAACGAAAACATACTATTATATGATCTGATATTATGTTGGAAGTGTTTACTCCTGGGATCTGTCCCGTTAATCAAATCATATAATTCAGGTGGGGGGTCCTTCAATTTCGGCAATACTATTTTTCCTTGCGCGCAACAAATAGAGTAGTTGGGGTTGGTTTTTGTAGAATTTCGAAGTGTCCTCTCATCAAACCAGAAAAGTGCTCCACAGTGGGCACAATTATGTGATGGGTCCCCAATATCACAATATTCAGCACTTACCGTGTCTAGAAAGAGAAATTATGAAACAATCTTAGTGTGGATTCAAGTAAAAAAGGTCCATATTAATAATTAAAATGGTTATTTGATATTACATAATAAATTTTAAACTGGTATGAAACTTGGTTATTTGATATTACATATTATATTTTAAATATTTTCATTAAAAATAATAGATTACAAAGTTTTGTATATAAATTTGACTACATCACTAAAAAATAAAAACCCAGAATTTTAAAATAATAGTAATAACAATCGCACCTTCAACTTGTTGTGGTTCTGATGGAAGATCATTCTGTATATGTGTTGATACTTCGTCGCACTTATGCCGGTTGTCAAGGAGACGCACATCTGGGCATTGGTCTACATTATTGATATTGATATTCGTTGTCCTCACACTCGAAGAACGATTAAATGGCAAATGCAATATTGTAGAAGTGAGTACAAATAGTACATAATCAATATCATAAAATATTTATGGGCTAATATAAATAGTAAAAAGTAAGAATTACCATTCGTTCTATCAACGAAAGCATCGGATGATCCACTGTGATGGTGCAAGGAACGTTTGTGAACATTACAGTCAACATTTTCTGTCACAAAGTCAATTAAATATAAACATGCCCTCGATTACATGATTCCAATACAATAAACTATTTCTATAACATGATTCCAATACAATAAACTATCTCTAAGACTACATGATTCCAATACAATAGACTATTTGTATGCCCTCAATTACTATTATTATTTTTAGGAACTCATTTTATGTTTGGAGTAACAATTTTGAATCTTATTTACACAATATAAGCAAAACTTTTATTCACAAATCTTACTTTGGTAAGGGTCATTATCATATGAATTTTATGATTTTATTACTATCATTACCATAACCAATATACATCACACAAATTATATTTTTAATCATTAAACAATAACTTGAGGCAATTATAATTCGACTACAATAAACAATTTCTATTACCTTATTCCAATACAATACACTATTTCCGGAAACGTGACTCACGTTCCGGAAACGTGGCCAATAGGAACTCATCCAAATTCAAAAATCCCTCTTTTTTTTTTAAATTGTTGTAACTTTTATATTCATAATCCGATTTTCATAAAAGTTATATCAAAATTTATAAATTTTTATTATCTTTCATATGACACCAATATTAGATATATAAAAATTAAAATAATTTTGAAGATACCATGGGTAGATGTTTTTTAGGCTACAAACTTTTTTAAGTAGATGTATGTTCTAAAATTAAGATCTCGTAATTTTTTATAGCACGTTTAAAAACATTGAATGAATAAGCTACTTAGAATGAAATTTGTGAAATTCTGATTGAAGTGGCTGGACTGGCTAACTGAAATTTTGTTAATACTATGAAAAATTATATTTACAATAATTTTTATTAATACGATGAATTTTTTTGAGTGAGTTCCCCAAATAGGAGCAAAACATAGGCAAAATACAAAAATAGGAGTATCATGTTTTGAATAGGAGTAAAAAATATTTTTGAACCGTTCTCCTTTTTGTTGTTATTTTTAAAAATAATTGCTGAGATATGGATTTTTTAATAGATGTATGTAGATCTCGGAATCTGTGGTTCGTGCATGTTATTATAGTAATCCTAGATCATTTTTCTGCGTTTAGATCTAATTGGATCTATAAATCGTTTGCATAAGATGTACTGCATTTGTTGCTTTTAGATCTAAGGGTCTATGCAGTTGTGATGCGTGTATGTCTTAATAACTTTAGAACCGTTTCATAGAATATTTTTGGGGTTTTTTTCAGTTTTTATTTGAAAAGCATTTTCAAAACTGGAATTTCTGAATTTGTGCTTCGTGCTTGTTATATACTATCCTTCGTTCGATAAAAGTTGAAACAGTTTTACTTTCACAGTTGCCAACGCGCAACTGTGATTGCAATTATATTAATTTACGTATTAGTAAACATAAAAAAAAGTTAATATATTGGAAATTTACATTAATACAAATTTATTAATATTTTTTTACATAAAATTTAGTCAAAGTTAGGTGTGTGAATAGGGCAAAAATTCCAATGTTGCAACTTTAATGGAAAGGAGGAAGTATTGCATTTAGTATTGCCAATCTACCCCAATTACATCAGCCCATAAAATCCATTTAATCTGTACAGCCCATTAATATCCGTCCAGTCCATTTAAATCCATTTACGCAGTCCGGATTATTCCAGCCCACTTTAAAACCCTTCGGTTCTTCAGCCCAAACCCTAGCAATATATAACCCCCTCCCCTAGAGTATGGATTATTACAAACCACTTTAAAACCCTTCGGTTTAACGGCCGCTCCTCATCTCTCTTCTTCTAAATTTTTTGTATGCTTTCTGTATCACCTTACTCTATCTTTCTTCAAAAGTCTATACCTCTCTGTTCGGATAATTCCAGACCACTCTATGTACATCTATCATCTTCTGGTGTTCATTGACATCCATTTTGGATGTGTTCGTGAACACGTTAACGAATTGAAGGATTGGAGTCTTTTTTCGGTTCAATGAACGGTATTATTATTTTTGTTAAATTAGGCATAGTTTTTGTATTTCTGTAATGATTCTCCTACTTTTCAATGTTATCCGATGATCGGTGTGTTCTTACACATGTGAGGAAGTATAACTACTGTACTCTGAGTTCCTGGTTTTCTTTTCGATTTCAAAACATTGGTAAAATATGGATTTTTCTGCATCGTTTTTGTGTTTTTAAAAACATTGGTAAAATATGGATTTTTGTACATCTACGTAATTGCTACAATATTACGAACCTTTGAATAGCTCCATCAAGATCTCCGAATCTATGGTTCGTTTATGCTATTATAGCAATCATATAACATTAGATCTAATAATTTATGGCTTCGAACGCGCTTGCATAAGATGTAAACCATTTGTTGCGTTTAGATCTAAGGATCTATGCAGTTGTGATGCGTTTACGTCTTAATAGCCTTAGATCTATTTTTGGGTTAATTTCCAGTTTATATTTATAACGCCTTGCCCAGATGTATATAGATCTATTTAAATTTATAAATCTTTAACTTCCAACACGCTGTCAAAGACATATACCATTTGTTGCGTTTAGATCCGTAGATCCACGCCGTTGTGATGCGGATATGTCTTAATGGTCTTTAATTATGTATATAGATCTATGCATGTGTTACGAATTATATTTCATATATTGCGTACGAACACGTTTGTAATAGACATATACCATTTGTTGCATTTAGATCTGTAGATCTATGCAGTTGTGATGCGTATATGTCTTAAAAGCCTTTATCTATATACATCTATGCAAGTGTTATTGTTATGTCTCTTGAAATGCATAATTGTTTCACTTCCCTCTACCCAATGTAATCCTTGTTCAAGTCTAGACTATAGAACTGGAGTTTAGGCCTTCAATATGAGCTAGCCAGATTCCCTGCCAGCCATGTTTGGCCTTCGGATCTGCGTGGTCTGGCAGCTCATTGCCTATGACCTATCTTAAATGGACCTGTTTTTACAAATCGGCCTTTCTAAGTATCTGCTGGAAATAGTTGTTTTTGTATATGACTATACTAACACGTATTAAAAATGCCTTACTCTATTAAATTATTTGAGATTAAACTTAAAAATTAGTCTTTTTTGTCATACCTTTGTTAGGTAGATCCTCGTTTGCTCTTTTACGGTTGATTACTGTGGACTTTGTGAGCCTCCTCATATTTAAGATTGGTACTCTTACATTACTTGGATTTATCACATAGATGCATTTTATGCATTGTAGCAGTTCTATTTGTGGCATCGGCATTATAAAAATATTTGGTATTGCTAAATTAACACTTCATTGTACACATCACCTATGTTATCATACACTACATAACTTCAGAACATAAACTGTTATATTACGGCATGCGAATAATACATATAATGTTCATCATTGTCATTTTTCATTCAAACTGCCATTCATTGAACACAGCACTTATGATTCACATCCACACCTAACCATCAATGCATATCTCATGCATGTTACAAAAGATTCATGTTACACATGACCATCACTTATGCATTTCTACTCATCCACTCAAATGACATACCTACCACCATATCTGCATTAAAGTACTTTCTGTTTAGTTGTATTATCCGATCTGATTTCCTTGGTATCATAGTTGGTGCATCTACCCATGCTGAACAATCTTTGCATAAGTATTCCATGTACTTTCTGTTCTTCTTTATTTGCCTCGTGCAGAAATAATGACTATAGTTTGAATCACACCATGAGCATGCATCCAGTAAAATGCCAACACACTTTTTTCCACACATATAGCACCCCCCAGTTGAAACTACTTGACATGAACATTCACTCATCTTGAATAGCTAGAATGAAACATAGGTTATTAAAATATACACCCATTAAAATTTGGTCATATGGTTCATGGTATTCGCATAATACATTCATATAAGTAATGCATAACATCTAATTTGTTTTGATATGTCATTTATCTATTTAATTACATGGTATTCACATGACACATTCATATACGTAATGCAGATAGTAAATATGATAATAGACTTACTGTGTTTATTAGGATTCAATGTTGTGTAATATATGAACTTCACTCCTTGTGTTGCCTCCTCTACTTCGAAGGTTTGGTCTGTTTTCATAAATGAGGTAGTGGTTGAGGCATTAAAGACTATTTATTCTTCTACAATGTCAAGATAGTCAAATACCGTTGGTAAGTAGCCCTTTCTGTCAAACATTTATTATGATTGTGACCTTGGATTATTATTTATTACGACCTTGGGAAGACGCTACTTTCAGCTACTCTCTCCGGATATGGTTATAACTGTGAGTTCTTTACAGCACTTTTCGAAATTTCTTTTCCTAGTTGTACTATTCATTAAATGCGACCTCGGGCAAACCCACATATGTACAGTTTTCTTTAAACCAAATACTATTCTCTATTTACAAAAATGATAAACACAGCTTAGACTCTATAATCTATAATTCTTACAATATTTATATATTTTGAATAATTTACGGCCTGCGTGTTATATAAGTGTACTAAAATTTGTATTTCTTTTATAACATTGATAGGCCAAAATCTAATGTGCTCGAAATACGTATCTTAACTAATATATATCCTATTTTGAAATGGTATTATTACCTATCATGTCAACAGTCATGTTTACTTTTAAAATGGTATTATTACCTATCATGCCCGAAATACGTATATTAACTAATATATATTAACTATATGGTATATTATTTCTTTTGTAATACTGATATAAAATTTAATTGACATCTTATTATATGTATAATATATTACATACCCCACATATAGTTATCCTTTTTTTAAACTGATAGTATGAAGTTATGATTTCTCATACCGTTGAGAAATTAAGCATGTTTTGAGCAAACATTACAAATTATATATTATTAACATAGGTTTTCAAATTAGTTGCTTATGAAGTAGAGTTTTGACTTGGTTAAACATGTTCACTTACTGTATCGAGATCACCTCACAAACATGCTCTAACTTACTATTTTTGTTTTTATTTGAGGTGCATTCAGAAACATCAAACTTGTATTTTTTTTGTAATTTACTTTGATGAATGTAATTCATTGGTTTTAGGATTGCAGGTTTCCATAGCCACTTCACCAGGTAAATCTTTTAATCCTTCTTTATCTTTATCATCAGCCTTTGTGAAAATATAACATGTATCTTCTGTGATATTTAAAATGTAGTCAAACGTTTTAGGCAGCAAATATTGTGCTATAATTTAATCCAACTTTTTATTGTTACTTAATTCAACAAAAAAACTTCCACAATTTTTCTGTATTTGCAAAAATGGTTTTACCAAAGTTTGTGTTTAAGGTTCTACAATGTTTTTAGTTTGAATATTTTATAAATTTAATTTTCGAAGTCTATTATAATCAATTCTTCACGTTGTGTAGGTTTTTTAAACATATGAAACTTACAAAAACCATTTTTTCGAAAATAGTGTCACCAAAAATTCCTTTTTCAATATTGAATGTAATTTAGTTAAAAGAGTAGAAAACATTAGTTTTTCGCAAACATATTATTATTGCATAATCGATATTATGGTTTCATCTTTTAACTATATGGCAAAAGTCGTAGCTTTCTTTTCTCACCATTCCTATTTCTTCATTTTAAGCAGCAAATACTGCATGTTGTATGATTTTTGTCAATAACATTTTCGTTATTACATAAATTCTCACTACAGTAGATTTTTATTATATAAAGCAATATAAACAAATATGTATTTCTGATCCTCGAAAAAAATATTAAAAACCCACCTATTTATAGATTTATTATTATTATTAAATCATCCAAAGAATTTCCCCCCAATGTTTTTTACAATCCACTTAAATGAAGTACCGATTTTGTCATAGACATTTTTAAAAATCTAGATTTGATTCAACTTGAGGATTGTGTTTTATTTATTATAAACAAAAGCTTATTAATTATTTGCTTAAAAGTACATAATACATTAAGTATAGAATAAATTAGATCTTTCTCTGACTTGGTGTTTTTATTTACATTTCAGGTGCGTTCAGGAACATTATGAATTATGTAATTATTTTTTCTTTTAGTTTAATGAATGTAATTCATAGTTTTTAGGGCCTTTAATAAGGTGCCTCATATGTAATAATTAAATAGTTTAGACCTCTAGGAATGCAGGTTCATAGCCACACCAAACACCAGGTATGTCTATCTTCCTTTATTATTATCAGCCTTTGTCAATATATAAATTGTATGATGTATGATTTTAAATGTAGTCAACATTTTAGAGAGCAGAAACCTTTTTAATTAACTTCAACAATAGTTAATTTTTTGTAATTCTATTTCTATGTTTAACCAAAATCTTCATATTTCACTGCAAAAGTTTTGGTTTGAATTACAAAGTTGCAATGGTGTTACCGTTTCCTTTGACTGTAGGTCTGTAGCCAATATAGTCGAAAAGATGAATTGTAACATTACAATCTAAGTCGTAGGATTCTTTCCACACCAACACTTTTGTACTAACATTTTTGTTGGTAAATTTTCATTACATAAATCAGATGACATGTTTTTAGTGAACACATTTTCGAAATATTTATTTCGAATTTAGTTTAAGTTTGATAAATCTTCTTTTAATCTGTATTAACAAAAATTTGAACTAACATTTTTGTTTATATTGAACATTTTTTCGAAATATTATTCAAATTTAGATTAAATTAATCTTTTTTAATCTGAAACTTATTTTTTAATCCTTATAAATTACACTACCTCCCACTTCGTTTATCACCGTTCGGTTAAACTTAGCCAACAAACACATTTTTTCATCAGATAATTTTTTTTTGTAGGTTTGTTGTTTAAACTATAGTGCTATATAGTATTTTTTGAAAATACTTGAACTTTAAGTAACACAAAACCACATTTAATATCATAACTTAATTGGGTTTTGTTTATAATCAAAACAATTACAACTCTCATTAATAAGAAATAATTGCTGCCAAGAATTTCTATATGAATCAAGCCCCCCTGGACTACTCTCTTCTGTCTTCGTTCCTCCATATCATGGTCTCCTGGTCTCCTTTCCGTTTCGTAGGTGTCCTTCCTTATGCTGATGCATCCTTAGGAGTCCTTTAACCCTGAAAAATTGACAATGCAAAATCTAACATAGAAAAATAGGTTTTGATGTGAAATATAAGTCTAACATAGTTGATAATTGTTCATGCCTACAACTTGAACAATGCAAAACAGAGTTCATTATTACAGACCCAGCTCGTAGTTTAGAAAAAAAGTAAGGCATAGTTCTAAATAAATATGTAAGTGCCCAAACAAAATATTCAACAAATCATCAATCCACACTCCTCTTTCAAGTAAAATGTAGCTGAGCCTGCTGGTCTATCTTCACCATTATTCCTTCTCTTGCTTGACGCGGATACTTCTCCGTTTGATGTTAACATTGGCCGAAAATTGATCATTCAGATTTCTCTTAAGTTGATCATTCCCTTCAATACCACCTACTGTCCGAATAGTTGTTGGAGTTTCTAGGCAATTCACTTCCTTACCCTGTCCAGAAACAATTTGTTTTTATTGCCTTGTTAGTTGACTCTATAGCGTGAAAAACAAATTCCACTCTATCAAAAAAGAATTTGATAACATCATCTACCTTTTCAGCCGCCCTCCTGTCATCTTTGTTTTCAACTTGTGTAGGCGACACGAAATCGTCATCTTCAATTACAACAGTCTGCATACAAAATAAATTAGTATCATATGATACAACGAAATTAGTTAATAGGAAAGCTTATCCAGACCTTCTGTTTTGATTTACTGCTAGCAGTACCATCTTCTATCTCGTTTCCTGTTGATCCGCTCTGCACATATAACAAATGTTTTTTATGCTGTCCACACCAAATCAAACATTTCAAAACATTTACCTTCTCTACATCTGTGTTTTCATCCATTTCAAGTGCATGGGTTTCATTTTTGGTATAGAGGTCCAAGATAGATTTGTCTCTTATCATTGCAAGTATCCCATACGAAACTGGACCTTTGTAAGAAGAACTTTCGTCTCTTGCTTTTATTTGAATTTTGAAGATTGCTCTTTGATCAATCAAAGCCTCCATGTCCTCAGGGAAGTGGGTAGGGTCACCCGTTTTCTGAAAATAAAAAACTTAATGAATTATCTTCCCTTTTCAGAATTGCTAGTGTAAAAAGTATTTTTTTGAATCAACCTTTTCAACTTCCTTTCTTAATGTTGCTGCAGTTTTCCCCACAATATCTATACATTCCCTATCCCATAAGGTGAACGTAGCGTGACCTGAGTCATCCATGACACAAACTGAAACTTTGTACCCACATACCGGAAGTTGGCAGATTAATGTTTGAAGTTAGTCTTATTTTAAAATAGTGGAAAGTGATACATCTTAACCAATAACACAACCTCAACACTCCCTCGCGAATAGTCGTGTCACATGTGATGCATCTGAACCTTTCATCTTCTGGCTTTATTTTCTTGTTGCATGTTGGGTAGCTCAGGTAGCACCATTCCTTATAGTTGTCTAGTGATACAATATCACCAAGTAGCCAATAGGTTCCATCCTGTGTACAGAAGCTGTGAGTAACAAAAGGTGATCATTTTTTTTACAGTTTCTTTGCTTAAATCATCTTTTTACCTGTGGGTCCTTTAGCAAATCACTGATGTTTGTGATAGTAGCCTTTCCCCTAAAAACGTCCTCACTACCCTGACCAACTGAATTTGCAGTGAAGGTAGTCATTGTTGTATTGTCGTCATCTGGTCCAAACTGCGATTTGAAATCCTCAAACTCCGGGTTAGAACCATTTATTAACAACTTCGAAACATCATAAGATGTTCCAACCAAGACATGACCTGAATATGTTTGAAATCTTTCATCAGCCCATTTGAAGCCAAAATAAAAAACTTAAGTTTTTTTTGAATTAGTCCTTACCTTGATAGCGTCTGGGTCTACCCATTTGTAGTATGATGTAGATGGCTTCATTTTTATGAGCATCATAAAATTCAGTGAACTGTTTGCAGTAGTTGTTCCACAATGTGCATCCAATACGATTTCCACTACAAATAAAAAAGAGTTTCATCATAAACTCTCGATTTTTATGATAAACGAATGCCATATCATAGATAAAATTAAGACAGTACTCTGGATCTTCCAAAGTTAGTTCAATCAGCTTTTCTGGTTTCCCGTTAACGATTGGTGTTTGTACTGGAGTCTTCCCGACGTACTTACC